TCTTTTGCGAGAAATCGGAAGATACGAAAATACACGAAATGCATCATGATCATGCAAAACATTTAGAACAAAGAATTTAACATAACAATACAGTAGACATATATTTCATAGCGTATGAAAAAAATTTCTACTCGAGTTTCATTCCTTCAGCCGTATTTATACAAAATTTCTAATGAATAAAAAGCACAAAAAAAAAAAAAACGACGATAACAGCGCGTTCCTTCGTTGAAGATTTTCCAATCAAGGCGAATTCACCGTTACGTTTTCACGATCGAGCGTCGCACATTGACGATTCTTCGGTCTTCGAACCATATCTTTGATATGGAAATATCGGCGAGGTAAGTTAGTTAAATAGATAAAGGAACGTGCGCGAACAGAAGGAACAGGGGCTCGAATTTTGAGAGGAGTCAGCAGCAAGAAACCCGCGCGGAATTGACTCGGGAAGTAACGTTGGCGAAAATTCGCGGAAATATGAGAAACTCGGAGAGATATTTGACGTAATTGCGTTTACTCCCGTCTCTTCTCTGAATAAACGTAACTTGTACGTACGCGTGCAGCTGCGTGCATCATAAAGTACAATAAAGTGTAATTACGTGTTAATGTTGTAACTAAATTATCGTTGATGTGAAGACGAAGCTAAAAAGCTCGGATTGAAACATCCACGGGAGAAAGCGTTTGAACGAAACGAAGCTTCGCGTGTCGACTGAAATTCCTCATTTACCTTTTCAGAACATCAATTTCTCTTTGAGGAATGAGAGATGAAAATAAGGGGGTGGAAAAACAATTCAATTCGTTCGATTCGATTGCTACCTTCGCGTGTCGATTGACTAGAATTTCGTTGACTCAGAAGAAAGAGATTACTAGTTAATCGATTTACCGCGATTAAATAGCTAGAAACTGATGATTAGATCTTTATGCGGATTTTTATGCATTTTTATATATTTGTGACGAGATTCAAATGGAAATTGGCTTTGTTTCAAATATTTCACATACTTTCGCGTGCATTTTAGCTGCCATAAATTCTACTAACAATTCTTATAGATGACTAATTTGGTATTGTTGTCCACTGGCGTATCGAAGAAATATGACAACGAGATAATAAAATTTTGTTGTAGAAGTTTTAACGAGATAGTCGCGAGACATCATGATCCACGTTCCGAAAAATTTCGTCGAACAGCGCGGCCGGTTAATCCAGATACGATTTTAATTTGTGAAACCATAAATCAGAGGCCCCGGTATCGGTGTTATCGAGTCTGGATTTCGGGGAACGGCAACCGAGTTACGTAATATAATGCTTGATACCATAATTACCATAATTAAACGTTAATTTACAGCAACCATCTTTTCTTCCTTTTCTTTTTTTATCTTTTTTTTTTCTAATTTCAACGGACGAGCAAAAGAGAGAAAGAAAAAGGGAGACGGGAAGGAAATTTACCGCAACGATGGACGACTCGGCGAAGAAGATAAAAAAGAACAAAAAAAAAAATGCGACCGAAGGAAAATTCGAGCGTGGATTAATTAAACGCGCGCCACACGCTTTAAACGTTTAAAAATTTTCAAACATCTAAAGCGTAAAACCGTTTGCAACGTGCGTCGACCTCCTCCAACTTTTTGATAGATGCTGCAAGTATATTTTCGTCCGTTTAATTTTTATGTTTTCTGAAAGAGAGAGAGAGAGAGACGAAAAGAATAATTAAAGGGAAGAAAGGAAAGAAGAGGAACACGAGTGTAAAAGGCAGATAATTCTCGAGTGTAATTCACTTGTGAGTGACTCGTTTCAAACGATATACATATAGTTCTATTCAGAGGATATTTAGTATC